CCGGGGCGCCCTCGGGCCTTGGCGCCCGCCGGGCCGGAATCCGGGGGCTGGAGCGTGAGAAGCGGCTGGCTATTAAACCCCCATGCAGCACTCCGCGCCCGCAATTTAACGGCTCGGAGCGCCACCAAACTTATGCAAATTAAGCAACCGACAGTCTCGGCTGCAGGGAGCCTCCGGAGTGGCAGGCAGGCCCTGGGCGAGCCGGGTGGAAATGCATTTGCAGATTCTGGGTTTATTTATCTTGGTGCCCCTAACTTCTTTCCACTATTGTGCTCAGAACGCCAGGCTCCAGATCTGGGCTCGGCCCGCTTCCTTGCGTCTACGGGAGACCCCACTCCTGTGACAAGAGCCCTCCTCGGTCCCTGGGGTCCCGCGACAAGAGTGTCCTCCGGGCCGGGGGAGGGGCAGGTTGACCCCCAAGGAACAATGAGGCCTTTGCCTCCTCTGCATCCTGCCGGCCGGATATCCGTTTAGGAGGCTTTGGGCCTTCTCTGTCCAAATGGAGGAAGCCTCCGGTCCCCAGGGCTGTCCGGAAGTCGCAGGGAGGTGCCCCCAGAAGAGGAGAACAATTATTATGCACTGGAGAATATGAAGTTAATAGACTTTGCAAGCTCTGGAAACGGGACGGGCGCTGCTTCCAACAGAGCAGGGTTGTTCTTGCACTGACAGGCCGATTCAAGAAAGCTCTGGTGGCACCCAGGACTGCCGCACAGGAGGAGGAAGGAAGGAAGTGGGCGACTGGCGTGAGAACCTGCGAACAATGAGGGCTGCTGGTGCTGGGGGCCTCTGCCCCCAGGGAACACAGAGAGTGCACCCCCCACAACCCCTTCCTGGAGTGTGGGTTGGGGTCAATGGGTCACCCTGAACCTCACTGATAGTGTCTGCAAAGTGGGGACAGTAATGGGTTTCCTGTCAGAAGGGAGGAGCTCAGGGTATGACATTTTGAGGCCCCACCCCAACTCCATGAATGACTGTGCTAAACAACCTTGCCTTGCTATGTCTCAGCAAGCCAGCAGCCGCTTAAGAGCTCCCCAGCTCCCCTGTCACCCAGCAGCCTAAGGTCTTTTTTGTGTGGTCATTTAAAACACACGCCTACATGTGAATGCCTGTGGTGTGCACTTAACAGCCACACTCTCACATTTGGATGTGCGCATTGCTCACGCAGGCATATTTTTAAAAGGCAGATCCAGTTCAAGTTCTGGGGGTTCTGGAGTGGTCCACAAGAGACCTCGTGGCACAGAGGGTAGCGTGTTCTGCTTGGCTGCCACGCAGAAAGGCCTGACGATCTGCTCCCATAAACATGACAGCCAAGAGAAGCCTGTGAGCCAGTTCTACCCGTCAGAGGGTTGCTATGAATCAGAATCAACTCAGGCCCACAAAATGGCTTGTCCTTAGTAACACATCCGGTTGACACAATAAACTACTGCGCTTCAAGTATTTGTGTCTCTGTGAGGAAATTAGTGCATTCCGATACAAAGAATGGCTAATTGCTTGTACCAACAGTGGGCCAGGTCTGTGTTAAATGCTGCACAAGGATGATCTGATTCAATACAACATCCGTGCTAACATGCTTGATACCGAGTAGCACGTTTAGCACAACGTCTGGATGAGGGAGGGCACATGTGTAGGTCCATTTTATAGATGAAGTCAACAGAGCAAGAAGTTTTACAATTGCCTAGGATCACACAGCAAATAAGGAAAAGTCTGGAGACTTCAGCCCAGGCCAACTGACTCAAGAGTTTGTACACGTAACCTCCAGCTGGCTCTGGCTGATCAGCCAGGATTCCATTCCACAGTGAATTGGTCTGAAGCCCTAGTTCTAACCCAATATGGCTGGGGTGGTGGCCTACTAAAGAGCAGAGACACCGTCACAGAAGGAAGAGGCAGTGACTGGAGTAACCCACAGACCAAAGAGGACCACTGTCACCAGAAGCCAAGACGAGGCATCGGACAGGTTCTCTCTCACAAGGAAGTCAACCCAGCCAACATCCTGGGAGGGACTCAACCTCCAGAAGAGCCACACCATCGCTTCCTGCTCTGAGAAGCCGAATTTTGTGCCAGTGTCCCTAGGACACAGATACCAGTGAGATGACCAGAACCCTCAACCCACTGCCATGGAGGGATTCCAACTGGTGCCACCCGATGTCTTCGGAGACTGTCCATCTTTGAAGGAGTAGGCAGCCTCAACTTTCCCCCACAAAGTGGGTGGCGGATTCAAACTGCTGCCCTTGCAGGGAGCAGGCCAAGGTTGAACACACTGTGCCATCAAGGCTCCTGGATGGGACAACAGTATGCTGACAGCAAGCCTGGCTGATTTCAGAACAACCCAGGGACCAGCAGGACCTGGAGATGCAGAAGCCCCACAGAATCTGGTCCCTCTGAGGCCCCTGCGACCCTGGGGGATCAAGCTGCTGGGTCAGCCTTCTCGTCGAACTCTTCTGGGAAGTCACCCACCTGTGTACATCCTAAACCACGGCCTCCCGTTGCCTGAACGAGCAGCCAGCTCTCTGGAGAGGGCTGCCGCTGGCGGGTGCTCCCTTCCTGGCCGAGGCAGGAAGAGGCTGCGGCCAGAGCTCTCCCGTGCCTGTTAGCTAGCTCCTCCTTCCAAGTTCACCTCCGTTTACCCAGCTCCATGCTTTCCCTGCAGTGCTCAGCCTGCACCCAGGGTCCAACCCTGAGCCATGTAGGGAGGTCATTGTGGACACCCCTCAAAGATCCCTGGAAACAGAGGAAGTCGCCTAGGAAGTGGTCGAAAGAGGAGATGCAGGAGCTGAAAGGAGGGCTGGGAAGTCATGAGGTTCCCTGTCTCTAAGAGTCCCATAGGGGTCACCAAGCATGACATGATTCTGATTCTTGTACCATATTGTCCTTCTGTTTGCTCCATCTTGGTTTCTTTGCTTAAACTTGCTTTCGGAAGCTTTCTTGCCCTCCGGGGATGAACGGAGCATCCTCGGCGCCCTGTTTTCCAGATTCCCTGTGGTCGAGCGCTCTGGAGTCTGCTCTACTCACTGTGGCCCCATGCACAACAGCGAAGAACCGCCCTGCCCCGTGCCAGCCTCGCACTTGGTGGTGTGGGACCCCACACTCTGCTGCAGCCACTGCGTCAGTCCACCGTGTGTAGAGGGTCTTCCTCTGTCTCTTTTCTTTTTTAAAACTCACCACGGGGAGGAAGGAGGCATCAATCGCAATGATGGACACATAAACACCCACACACACACACACACACACACAGGGGGACGAAAAACAGAAACCATGGGGTAAGGGAGACAGCGGTCAGTGTAAGATAAGACAGTCACAATAATTTATAATTTATCAAGGGATCACAAGGTGGGGAGGGAGGGAGGGAAAAAAGAGGAGCTGATACCAAGGGTAAAATAGAAAGCAAATGTTCAGAAAAATGATGATAGCAACATACATCCTTGATACAATGGATTGTAATAAGAGCTGTAAGAGCCCCCAGTAAAAATGATCTTTTAACAAATAGATCTTTAATTGATTGATTGATTAAAATACAATAAAACTCCTGACCACAGTCATGGGCAGTGGGTTTTAGACCCAATGTGTTGGGTTGGGATCTCTAGAGATGCAAAACCAGAGATGCTGCTAGGTCTTGTACATAGAGATTTATATCAAGAAGTGGCTTACGCCGGTGTGGAAATAGGTAGGTCAGGCTTCTAACGGGAGAAGAGGACGAACAGAAAGCAGAGACAGTGGGGGG